GGCAAGGCCCCTTCTTGAGGGCTCAATCCTCACATTCCATCCCCCTTAGCTTCGAAAGTCAGCTGAGATGCTTACTTCGCAGGTGCCTTCCCTTTTAACATTCTCTCATAATCTGCCACCACTTGAGGAGCTGTGTCAATCAGTTCCTCTCTGGTGAATCACCGATCTTCCTTCGGATCCGTATGTTGCCTGAATCGGATGCGATACTCCCGCTTGGGTTTTGGAGGTCTTCCTCTACCCAGTGGCTTTGGAACAGGCAGATCTCTGTGATCCACAATGTCGTCGATGTCCACTTGACCATCCATGGTTGCGGGCAGCATTGATCTCCTTGAAGAAAATTGATCTGTCTCAGCAAAAGGTGCAAGCTTTGAAGCATGAAAGACAGGGTGAGTGCGTAAGTGACCAGGGATACGGATAACATAGGTAGGACCATCCATCTCATCCCCAACTATATCCAGGACTTCCCATGGACCAAAACACTTTGCGAGAGATTCCGAATTCCTGTCCTAACTCACTAGCCTTTACCCAGACACGTTCCCCTACCTGAAATGAGGATTGCCGACGATGTTTGTTCTCAGAAACAATCATTGCTTGCTGAGCTTTCTTGATGTGTTCGACAGCTTGCTGTAGCAACTTCTCATACTGCACACCATACTCAAGTGTGCCTGGAGTTGCAGAGGGTTGATTTTCAGGCAGGAGGAAGTCCATAGCTGATCTAGGCTTCCATCCCAAATGTAGCTGATTAGGACTAACGCTGGTACTACTGTGTACAACGTTGTTGTACAGGCTGGCGATGAGAGGCAACTTCTCATTCCAGTCATACTGGCTGGGCTTGATGTAACGCTTCAGCAGGTGTTGTACAACCCTGTTCATCTGCTCGGCCTGTCCGTTGGCTTTGGGATGATTCCCTGAAGTCATCTGAAGTGGACTGCCCATCTGCTCAGCAGTCTTCTTCCACAGCTCACTTGTCAATCAGACATCTCTGTCACTAACGATTGACTTTGGTAGTCCAAAATCACGTACCCAGTTGTCCATAAACAACTTGATGACGTGGTCAGTCCTTGCGGTCGCTGGCATGGCAATTAGTCTAGCGTATTTGGTGAATCGATCAATGATGACAAAGATGTGCCTCTTGCCACTCCTACTGGTCACCAGGGTGTCCATGAAGTCCATGGAAACACTCTGTCCTGGACCAGCGGGGATAGGTAAGGGGTTAAGCAACCCAAGCGGTGCTTGAGTTCGCGGCTTGTCCCGCTGACAGACCTGACAGGTCTCTACATACTTTTTTGCGTCATCTAGCATTCCAGGCCACCAAAATCGTTGTACTAGATTGACACTTGTCTTTTTGTAGCCAAAGTGTCCGGTTGCGTCATGACATTCTCCTAAGAATAAACTATGGAAACGTTCACTAGATGGTACAACTAATCTTTTAAATCCGGCCTTATCAAGAAAGAGAAGCCCGTCCACCATCACAAACTCATCTTCTGTGGCCTTATCTTTTGCCTGAAGCTTGCGTATGATGTCCATTGTGACAGGGTCTTCCTGATAGGCTCCTGCCAGCGATTGAGTTAGTTCCTCAGATACACCAAACTCAGAAATTAGCGCACCTAGGTAGTCTGCTCTACGGGACAGCGCATCTGCAACCTTGTTGTACTCTCCCTTCGGATACTCTAGCTTGAAGTCATACTGATCTATGACCTCAATCCAACGCTTGAGTGCATCCGAAAGAGTCGGTTGAGTCTTGATCCATTTGAGGGTCTGATGGTCAGTTCTCAAGTAGAAAAATCGTCCCAACAGGAAGTGCCTCCAATGGACAAGTGCTTTGTAGAGAGCATAGAGTTCCCTTTCATAGGTGGACTTTGCCAGTTTCTTAGATGGCATCTTTTTGCTCATATACTCAATCGGTCTCAACTTCTTCCCATCCTGCTGAGCCAGCACTGCGCCAATGCCGTATTGGCTTGCGTCAGTGGTTACAATGAATGGCTTCTGAGGATCGGGCACCATGAGAACCTCATGATTCATGAGTGCATGCTTCAATCGTTTGAAAGCAGCCTCGCACTCATCACTCTAGTCCCAAGGCGTGTCAAATCGAGTTAGATCAGTCAAAGGAGAGGCGACTGTGGAATAGTTCTTCACGAAGTTTCTATAGTAGCCACACATTCCTAAGAAAGATCTGACCTCAGTAACAGTCTGAGGTCGTGGCCAGTCCCTTATACTAGCCACTTTCGCATCTTCCGGCCTAATACCTTCCGCGGATACTTCATGACCCAAGTATAAGATCTTAGTGCGTCCGAACTCACATTTCTCTAGGTTGACCTTATACTTGTGCTGTCGCAGGAGTGAGAGTACAGTCTCAACGTGCTGTGCATGCTCCTCGACAGACTTACTAAAGATAAGAATATCGTCAAGGTAGACAACGACAAACTTATCTAAGTGGTCATGGAAGATCCTATTCATGGCGTGCTGGAATGTACCCGACGCATAGCAAAGGCCAAAGGGCATCACTACAAACTCATACAGACCATATCTGGTCTGAAAAGCAGTCTTGTGTTGATCCTCAGGTCTTATTGCGATTTGATGGTAGCCGGACTTTGAGTCTATCTTACTATATTACTTACATCCCTGCACCCTATCCAATAGGTCGTTTATGCGAGGTAGAGGCTCTGCGTTTTTCACTGTGATGGCATTGAGGCCTCTATAATCAATGCACATCCTTAAGGTACCCCCCTTCTTCGGTACAAATAGCACTGGAGATCCGTAGGGGGAAGTACTCGGCCGGATCCATCACTTCTCTGTCAACTCTTTCAGTTGTCGCCAAAGTTCATCCAACTCGGCCGGAGCCATCCTATAGATCCTTCCCTTTGGGGTTTTACTCCCTGGAATGATTTCTATGGCGTGGACAACCTCCCTATCAACGACTCCTGTGGGCTCCGTGAACAGATCAGGGAACTTAGCAACGACGTGTTCTATCTCTGGGGGTGTTTTAACAGCCGCCCCTTTCTCAAAGACATACACTAGGTACATACCCTCCTCTTGGTTCTGTTTATAGTAATTATAGAACGCTGATGCACACAAGCAGCCATAGCTATCGATTAAACTTAGTCAGCCTCACTGTTCTTCCGTCAGGCAACTTATGCTTTAGCACCTTCTTGTCCCAGTCAAACTGGGGCTTGGCAACCTCAAGGTAGTACATCCCTAACAACATATCCAATGGTAAGTCGTCGCTAATCAGGAACGAAAGTTCCCCTCCTCCATAGGAGAAGGTACAGACTACATCCTTGATATAGTCTCTGACAACCATGCGCTCCTTATTGGTCAAAGTAGATGCTACAGGTCTAGGTGTTGTTCCCGGTCTTGTAGGTGCAGCCTTTCCAAGCAGTTGCGACTTATATAATTCTGCGTGGAGCCGATGTCTATGAAGGCACCACATTTGCGGCCTCCTACATCAACTTCCACAACGAAATGTTCCCCTCTAGGACCTTTCCTTAGTGCCACCCAAGATT